TAGCCAAGGTCTTATCTTGTTCATTTTTAGACCTTTTTCAATTGCTAAGATTGCTGCCATACTATCTGTTCTTATCTCCACACTTCTTCTACAAGGTACGGTTAGTAAAGCGAGGAGAATTGCTACTATCTCTGCTCTTGTAGATGAGAACCATTTCTTCATTGCATATAAAATTTGGTGCACTACATGTCCTGTTTCTGTAATTTGAATTGCCCTACAACCCATTACCAATTTTTCTTCATCTTTTGCAGGTTCGAGTGAGCCATCAGTATAAAAGAATAAACTATTTAGTTTTCTATTTTGCTCTAAGCTCTTTATTATTTTATTCCTAATTACAGCACTTTTAACTATTCTATTAATTAAAACTAGTTTCCAACATTTATACTCTATCCCTATACTAACTTCCTCTTTTATTTTTTTTAACTTTTTTGCTTTAACCAAGTGTTTTTTCTCCTCTTTTCTAAACGCTTTTTCTATATGTTGTTTCTCAAAAATTATCCTTGCACCTTTTTCTGTTTTCTGCACTATGTTTGAAATATCTCCAAGTTTTCTATATTTAACTATATGCGTTTCATTTGTCTTGTTGATCTCTAGAAACTGCTAGACTTTATTTTCTTTAACACTTTATTGTTTCTTTATATTTTTTGACTTCTATATATGCATTTTCTTTTTCTATGATTTTTCCTACGTGAAGAGGTTCATTTGTATCCTCTCTCCAACAAACCTATTCTCTTACTCTTTTGTCATTGCCTACTTCTTTTATCTCAATGTTAGGAGCATTACTGTTATTTGCTTCACATTTGTATCTGTTTTTGATATTTCTTGATCTGGGGTCTTCTAAGATCTCTTTCTCTAATTCAGCGAACTAGCCTGATTTTTTCCTTTTTAGACCTGCTCCACGTGCTAATTTAAATTGACTCTATGTATGCATTGTTTTACCATCTTTTGCAATAAGTTGTGATATTACTATTAGGCCCAGGCCACTTGCTTTCGTCTCTGAGTAAGCTACATTTAAGGGTAGAGTGTACGTCGATCATTTATTATATAATTTTGGTTGTACAATGGGATTTATGCATAAATTAAAATATGCCACTAACAAAAGTTTTCGAAGCCACTATTAATCTTTACCAAAATTTTGTAATATATAAATTAAACCTTCTATTTATAGTAGTAAAATTTTTAGGGGTTATATTATTTTAAAAAAATGTACATATATATAGCATAAAATTTGCCAGGGGGTTCTCAAATTTGCTGGGGTTACACAAAAAACAAATAGTAAAATTATTACTAAACCAGGTAATTACCCAATCAGAGTCGTATTTACTATATAAACTGTTACACAAAAAAGATTGACAACGCATATTATATGATAAATGATTTACGTATACTCTACCTTTAAACGTTCGAGGACACATGCAATTTCTTTATCATTTACTATTTGTATGAGGTCTAAATTCTAGCTTCTCGTAATCTCATTTTCTTCTATACTGAAGCCCAAAGCATATGCTTGTTGCAAAATGTTTATCTCCAGATTACAATCTTTCATTTCCCTCTTTTCTAGTATGGTTTGATTTATTAAAATGCACTTTGTTGAACCTGCTTTTAGCTAACCTTGCTTGAGTCCTCTTGTTGTTGATTCTTCTAACAAACCTGGTGTATTTAGTCTAACTAGCAACTCTGATATATGATGCTTCATATGTCTATTCCAAAGGCTTTTGAGAGCTGTTATCTCTGGATGTTTTGTTATTATATTGGCTGTTGTGGAAGGCATCGATATTTTCCATTTAATCAAACGGATCATTGGCTGATATATTCTTTCACATTGTGCCTTGGTTAAACACTAGATTATTAGTCTATACTCCAAAGTGGGTATAAGAATTGCATTGTTTACATATATAATCTGACTAAGAGATATTTGTTTGTGTTTTAGTAGGCCTAAGATCTTGTCTACTATGCTTCTTGCTTTGAAAATGTCTAACCTCTTCTGGTTTTTGATTGACATCTAAACACCTAAAAATCTTGTAGTATCTTTGGGATCTTTTACTATAATCTTGGTCCTTGGATTTCCCATCCAAATTGAAAAATCTTTTACCTGATTTTTTTTTTCCAATTTCAGAACTACAAGTTCAGTTTTGCTAGGATTTATTTCAATATTATTTAGCCTGTAAAATTCTTGTGCAATGTCAATCATACTCTGCATATTTTCTTGACTATTTGTCAACCAGGTTGTGTTATCTGTGTATGCCAGTATACCAACTCTAATATTGTTGTCTTCTAATTTCATAAAAAATTCTGTATTTTGCATTTCATAGCCGAGTTTGGCTCCTTGTACTTTACATAACAAAGAATCATAAAAGATTTTCCAAACCAAAGGGAAAAGTACCTCTTCTTGATCTATACTATCCCCTGCTTTTATGAAATTCGTATTTTCAAACTCTGTCATAATGCTAAGCTGCCTGTTTTCATATAACTCTAGTATTATCTCAATTATTTTTGCTAGAATTTTAATTCTTTCTAGAGCTTTTTTTAATAAGACTATACTAACTGAATCAAAGGCTTTCTTCATATCTTGAAATATAACTTATAGCTCCCTTTTCTTTTCTATAGCTTCTTCTATTATATTGTTCACTGATAATGTACTATTAAAATACAAACTTTTGCAAATCTAAGCACTTTATTAGCATTTTATTATGATAATTTAATTTTATAAATACATTCGTCAATTATTATGCTAATAAAATGCTAATATTAGCAATATATTATCAATGTATTAGTAATATTAAAGGGCTAAAAATTACTATTATTTAACCAATTTAGTAGGTATTTAAAAGTGCTGATAATGAAATAATCTTGTAATAAATTATTAAAAAGGCTAACTTAATACTAATAATACACTTTATATTGCTTATTATTGGGCAAATAATTGCATATCTCGAAATTGTCAGATTTTGCAAAGTACATACTTTAGAGCTTAGAGAAGTCATATTGTTGCTATTATTACTATCGTTGTAAAATTTATTTGTACATCCTGTTCCCTGCCATAAACATAGCAATTTTTGTATTGAATTATAGAATAGCCAGAAATTTATTATAGCAACTTCATCCTCTCGAAAGCCTTCAGATATGGTGTTACAGGTAAAATAATTGTGACTGAAAACATGACTCAGAGACTTTAACCCACATAAAATGACGATAATGGGCCGGGTTCTTGGCGTATGTAATTGCAATTGAACCGAAATTAAGTTAAACATGCATAATCAAACGATCAACTAAATCAAGAATAATTTAAGATCAAAAAGTTCAGATTTTAGAATAAAGAAACAAAATAATGAAATAGAAGAAGCTGAGAATAATTGAAAGTAGAGGAAGTGTAAAAAAAAACTGGTAGAAGCCAAAATTGGATAGATCAGAAATATATAAAAGCAAATACAAAAACAATTTGATGAAAATATATCTTTTGTAACCAGATAGAGTATAATAAAGAACCCATTAAATAAAGGACTGTTAGTGTGTTTGTGCTAGTGATAATTAGCTAAATAGTGTAAAAGAAGTGAACTCGCCAAATTGTATCGCCTCAAGTAGAGCTGCTAAGAAGTCACTTTCTTCAGTAATTATCGAGATAACTGTTAAATTACTAGTGGTTCTATGATAAAAGTGCGTTTGAAAATGATTTGGTGATTAAAAAAATATTTGATAACCTTAAACTCTACAATGGAAATGGAATTGAAAAAGTGAATAATAAAGCACCTCGTCATTATCAAAATCAGCTAATACTAGTTATCAGAATGGAAATGGATATATGTAAAAAATTCAATCAGTGTCAAAGCTCACCAGAGATTGGACTTACAGAAAGAATGTTTAACGTCGGCTATTGCTATCATCATGAGAGTGGAGTTGATAAGCATAAAGATGGAAATTTTGGGTAAAAGGAAAAATTATGAGCAATAGTATAGTTGTTAGACAAAAACTTTTTCACATAATGACGAAAGACCCAAAAGACGAAACCTCTGATGAAAGTCGAAACTTTAAACTTAAAATGACGAAAACTTATGCTCAAAAAGATGTAACCCAGCACTCCTTCTAAAAAAAAAAAAAATTATTCTTATTGAATTAACATTCATAATTTATTCAGAGATTAGTATCTGAAGTTATATATATGCTAGCAAAAATGAACCAGTTCATTTTTTCTGAGTTGTTATAGACCGGTTAAAATAACCTTGTCAAAAAGCTATAGTATTTATGGAATAACACAAATAATGAATTAAAAACATATTGGCACAAAATAAATTTGTAAGATTACAAAGCAAACACCAAACGACTTCGCATTAGAACTAATACGTAATGTACTAATATAATACATTATAGAATACTCATTTCTAACTCCCTTTAATCGCCTATTATACAATAAAATTTTTGTAATTTTTATTTTTGTTTATTTTTTATATACATAATCAATGATTTTCAATAATATTTATTTGTATATTCATTTTTATTAGTTTTGTCGCCTTTTACAGTTTTGCCAGTTTCGTGATTCAAGATTTTAATTAACAAAAAATAAAACTAGGTTTCACGCGAAACCTCGAAGTTTTATCTAACAACTATAAGTAATAGTGAAAATTTTTTTATTTGTATTATTATTATAACTACATAAATAGGAAAATACAAATATTTACATGATAAAAAAGAAAGAAAAAAAAAAAAAAATCAAGAGTTTTCAGCAAAATGAATGATTTATTCATTATTATTATCATTGCCACTATTATTACCATTATTACTAACCAAATTGGTCATCGTGGCCCAAAGTTTATTTTTTTTATTTATAACTTCTTTTTTTACTTTCCTCAGATCTTTTTTCTGATTGAGCAAAAAATACATTTCAGACCACTCTACTAGATCCTCTTCTAGTTGTCTAATCTCCTCCTCATGTTTTACTTGTTCTTTTTCTATTGTCCTGTCCAACACTTCACTTTTCAATTTCAACTCATTCAACCGCTCTTCTCGACTCATCTAATCGATAATATCTTGTTGAGCAAGGTAAGACTTTGTTTGGGTTTGGTAAAGTTTAGAAGATTTTTTGATTTCTTAGATTTCTATATTGAAGGGGAGTTGTTATTTTATTATATATATATAAATAAATAAAGCAGGAAACAGAAAAAAGGTTCATATAAATGACCTAAAAAAAAAAATTAAAATAAAATAAAAATATCTTGGTGCAAGGAGTTTTCCATTTTTTGAACCATCCACTGCATACATATTTTAAAAAATAATACAGATCTAATTACTAGATCACAAGAGTTTTGGCTATAAAAATTTTCTTTTTTCTCAAATAAATGCATTATATAATTAATTGATTATTTATTTATTTTTGTTCCTCTCCTTTATAATAGAAATATAGTAATAGCTACTGAATCAAATTTATCTGACCTAATTAGCAACTCAACTAGAATCTCTAAACTAAATTTAACTTGAAGTCAATTC